GTTAGACTGATAATTTAATTTAAAGAACACTGATTTTCACTACACAACCAGATGAAAGATACTATCTTCTCGATTTTACATGTCAGTTTACCATTTTTATTTTATACTTTTTTACTGAAAGGGGAATCTCTTCCAGGCACAAAGGAGGTGCTGTTGCTTTTCACCATGGTTCCCTATGTGGAGTTTGTCCCTATTAAACCTAACCTCTAAAAACTACAATCTACTGGGTCTGGAATCACCAGTGGCATATTACTTAAACCCAGCAGGATCGTGTTTTTTTTTTTTTTTTTTTTGTGATACCCTCTGCTTTGGTATTCTCAATCACCCCCCTGGCCACTGGGTTTTATTTTTTAAATATCGGATATCTTGCCTTGATTAGATGTTTTTTTTCGCCTGATGATCCCCGTAACCCCCTCTCCCATTTTCATATGACAAACCTCTTCCAACATCCCTGTTAATGTTTTCTCTTTTTCAACCAAGTTCCAGGAATCATTGACTTCTCTGTTCCCAACGATAACACTCGAGAATAGTGTGTTTTGGCGTGTCTTACTCACCACAATACCTACACTGTTTGTACGTTTTGGTACTCTTTACTATCCCCGTAACCTGAGAGAAACTGAGTCAGATATCTAGTTCTTCATGATTCCTTTTTATCCAGTCCCTTACATGGGGGAAAAGGGCTTTTGTCTAAGGGAGGACTGTATAGTAAAACAAAAAAGAAAAGAACCAACTATAAAATACACTTTAATTCGGAAGATAAAATGTTGCGACGATATAATTCCAGTCAAACGCTACCAAAATGAAGCACCTACTGTATATAAAACATGTTTCAGATTAAACGATAAATGTCTACTTGCCCCAACACTTTTTTACAAAAGACTTTGCATCAAAATTCATAACTTGGGTAAAATTTATCTTCAGTTTCGTCTTCTGCAAGTTCCATCATTACCAACTCCTCAGCAACCGACTGGAAAAACTTTCTGACATTTCCTCGAACTCCGTTTGACCTCAGGTAAGGTATAAAGCTTACTATCACGCACATAGTGGCGTCCCCATCTTAAATAGTTGATACAGTAATTTATTGATATTTGATATCTATAATGTGAACTATCTATTGCCATCTATTGTATACCTTACCTACACACGGTGTGGGTGTATTTTCAGCTCATTTAAATGTAGGGCTTGTGTACAATGAGCAATATGATCGATGGAGTGTGTTTACTAAAACTAAATGTGGACAGCTCAATGTTTAATGATTGAGGTCAGCTGGGTCCAGTTTCAAATAATCATAAACCTATCGAGTTTTGTTTCACGAACCATCGACCTTAGCGATAAACTAGCTATTCAGCCATGGTCTATAATCCATTAGTGAACTGCAGGATTTGGACACGGTCCTCTAGACAGTCCCTCACACTAACCTCTCAATCAGCTGTGGTCAATGTGACCCTCACTTTAGTAAGCGTTGCCATATTATTTAGACAAAACGTTTTTAAAGCAAAAAACATTTTTAAGCTAACCACATCACAACACAACTCTTGACAAGGAGGCTGTTTTCAATTGTAAAATACTTAGCCAAAGTAAGAGGTTGTAGAACGGTTTCGTAGAGCGATGGTGGGTGGAGGGGTATGGAGAGGTAGGGAGGGGTACCGGTAAGATTGACTTGAATATTGGACATTAAGCAAGCAACCCCCGGAGGATATAGATACTGCTGTGCATTGACTATGACAAAGCCCTCTGTGATGATAATATCTCAGTTTGGATATCTTATTAATTATTTCACAAGATTCAGCAATTTGACAGTAAAATGTAACTAATGAAACATTTTCTAAACATATGTAACCTTTAGCAAGTTTAAGCCACACAAAACTTTACAAATCTATATATTAATAAGCAAACATGTTTCTTTAAACCCTTTTTTCTCAGCACCGCAGGGAAAATCTATGCATACTGTTAGAAAGATATTTGCCTGTAGATTTACAGAATACCTTTTTAATTAAAATAGGCTAAAAAATAAGCACAAAAAATGAATTTAAAAATATTAACATGGGCCATATATGGGTTTCCATGCTGACGAAATAACAACGAAACATAAACAGAAAATCAAAACAAATTAAAGAAATTCCAATCACATGTTTTATTTACAGCGTGGGGGTATTTTTTAATATAGAAGTATGCGCATTACACATTTTTGGTCGAGTTTTTGACCACTGGACGACCTCTTGTATATTTATAGGCATGCACTGTGGATGCGATACTCCCTGATGTGGATTAACATCCGCACTAGTAAGTAGGCTACTACGACTATCCACAGTACTATCATAGACAAATAGAATCTATATATATAATACGCTAAGCCGATTTTTGTGAACAGAACTCCTCCCTCATTTTTGGACTGATTTTGATTCTGATGATTAAAGTGTCAAAAAATTGCCATGATCTGTAGTTTTGCAAAGTGTTTTTCGTTTTTTGATATCCTTATTAGTTTGGGCAGGATCTTCCATCAAAGTCGAGCTTTCTCCCATAAGATTAACATGGGGGAATCTAAATATTTAATTGGAAACTTTGTATCCACTAATTTGAGAGAACGGCTGGGTGTAGAAACTTGGTAGAGGTGTCCAAAGAAAGGTCTTGGTCTGTGGATGAGTTATCAAAAGAAAAACGAAGTAAATTCGCTTAGGGCTCTGCCCCAGAAGCCGAGTTAAAGACCAGCTGAACCTCAGAACAATAACTTATCTTTTTAGAAATATATTTTTATTAAAAGATTTATAACTCGGGTTGTTAATACGTCACCAAGTTCTTTCTGGTCTCAAATTACTCAGTAAATGTTTCGCTTTGACTTCATTAACCAATAACCAAAATATGACAATTTTAAAACGAGTCATGAACCTTAATATAACAATAAAATGTATTTATTTCGAAATTTGTCTTTAGTTAAAGACGTATATCCCTAATTCTAAATAACTCCCAAAACTCTTATAGTCTTAAAAAGTTCGCCAAATTATTGACTTTTATTCTAGCTAAAGATTACTTATTGGTAGTGTTGTGACCGTACTATTGAAATACACGCACATTGTAAATTATATCACTTTATTTTTAACAACATAGATGTTTTTAATGTAATGTTTTTCAAAAGTAACAATAAGAAGTGTTTACTATTTAATATTTACCAACAGCTGACTATTTAGAATAGAGTAATAGAACAAGATTATGACACTCTCCCTCACTTATTGAGAAGAACATAAACTATTTTTGAACGATAAAGTCTCGTAACCAAGGTGGCTGTCGTCGTTGTCTTATTGGTCGTGGAGAGCGAACTGGAATGTTAACTTCTGTTTAGGTTGGTCTGGTTCTGGTTCAATATGGTCGGGTCTTTGATCAGGATAAGATGGAGTTTGGTTTGGAAGTCTTGGTACATCGAATGATTGCTTAGGTCCAAATGTTACCATCTTTTCTTTCATTACTAGAGTTGGTCTAAGCTGGTTAACTTCTTTTGGCTGAGCAGGAGCCATCTTCATTTCTCCAATCCATCAAACCTATTATTTGACTAACCAACCTACATTTCTTCAACTCCTCCATTCTTTATGTTCCATTCAACTTATCCATTCTTTCTACTCCCTTAACTCTATATCTCCTTTATACAGGGTGGGGCAATGAGAACGCCACAATTTGTTTTAGCTGTCACATGTTAATTGTTGCAACAACGAATGATCAGCTGTGCTTTAAAACATCAATTAAACTATGCCATTTTAGTAAATATTATGCCCGAGGCTATTAACACTGAGATTTTGATGTGCAAACCTATTTTTAAAATAGTGGTTCTTGTGCAAAAACCCAGAGATTGTTAGGACCACATTCCATCGTTGGTCAACATGGCACTGTTCCCGATTGCAAAACAATGGTGAACAGGGTAAAACTATTTAGGATAAACGCTTAAACCTAAAAAATGATCGGTGGGTGCCGCAAAACTCTTTGTACACCAGCAAATGTTGAAAGAGTGCGAGTCGCGCAGTAACTCAAAGTCCAAAGAGATTTGCCAGGAAGCTGTTGTTGTTGAAAGCTTTACGTTGGCTCCTTTTTTTGGACGGGGGGGGGGGGGTTCTACTAAGCTACTTGATGTTCGAGGTTTTTCTAAGTCACCCCACAGATTTGCTTGAACCGAAGCTAAGAATTGTCCAAAAACTAAAGTGATTCCTGAAGAAATGCTGGAGGAGTATTTGATGGAGTTTTCAAGTGCCTAATGTCAAGTAGGACAAGGACGTCACTTGCAGGATTTCGTTCTCAAGAAAAGGAAAAATGACTTATTTGTTAAGTTAAAATGGCAAAAGATAAGCTGTGTTTTGATGTGCTATTTATATCCATATAGGGTGAATACTATTGAGTTTGTACTGCTTATAAATTGGGGCGCTTTCATTGTCCCACCCTGTATAATAATTGTAACCTCCTTATGTATTACAGTATACTGTTCTGCTAATATCTGTATCTGTATCGAAAGTTGAGTGTAGTCATAGACTGATACGATTGAAAATATCGATTGTTTTTGGTTACATATTGTCATGAAGTCGTTTACCAAAGTTTCTTATTTTTTATTGACTACTGTAACTGACTCATGGATGGCACCATTGATTACAATAATGCAAAAAAAATCACAGAAAACAGAATCAGGCAAGGCCCGCACTAGATATATCTAGTGTGGCCTTGAACCAGGGCTTACCCATTACCACTGGCATTGATTAAATAATTTCATAAATATAATCAATGCCCTTGGGAAAAGAACAGGGTAAAAACTGGGAGTTGGGACCACTGAGCTAAAATTATAACGCTCAGTTGTTGGGACAAGGCAATATTACTATTACTAGTATTACTGCGTTTGTTTAAAGTAGTGCTCTTATTTTGGTAACACTGCCTATCAAACATATGCTCCAACGCTCCAACCAGAAAAGAAGGTCCCAGCTGTGCTGTGCTGTACTCTCTCTATCTACTGCTAGCTACTCTGTACTGATTGGTGATTGGTGGGGAATAACTGCATAACTGCAACAAACAACTAACTGTGCTCGCTCGTTTCTCCTTTCTGTACTTTCCCTTCCTTTCAGATTTTGACGTTCATAAATTTGACATTTTTGAAGCTTTGATAAATCAAGCGGGAATATTTTCTAAAGTATTTTGTATTTGTCATAGGAGCTTACGTGGTGTGATAATTTTTTTTTATTTGAGTGACTAGAAGCATTTTAAGAACTGCAAAATGAAGGTTTTTATGTTTGGTTTCGTGACATTGTCCGTTGTCATACATTTTTGCCTTTTCTCACTTTCTGGTAAGTTTCATTTGTCGTAAAATAGTATTAGGCCTAATTCGATTCAAGATTGCACTTATTTATTTCAGGATAGCTAGCTACTTAACTTAATAATGTATTCTATTGATTTTATGGCCTAGGTACCTTAACCGAGCCTAGGCCTATAACTTAGGCCTAACTAATTCCTTGGTTGAAGTAGCCTAGCAGTAGGCTACCTACCTGGAATAAGTACCACTTGGGCACTACAAACCTTACCACAACCATTCAATTGTGTAGGCCTCTAAGTTAGGTCTTTACATTTTGTTATCCTCCACATAGGCCTAGGCCTAGTGTAGTTTAACGTTCACTACTGTAATAGTAGGCCTACTGAATTTCTCATTCATATGGCCCAGTGACGTACATATGCTACAGCCAGTTTACCCATAGACTGCTGTTGCATATTCGGTGTCCCAATGTTTTTAAAAAGCTTAAATATAGGTAACGTAACAGTGTAGGTCTATTTGAAGGCCCTGAATTCTCTGCAGTTTACAGCATGTCTGTCGCATGTGTGTAACACTCGGTCTGTGGATATGATGATTAACTTAACGATGTCATATGATGGTTGGAAAAATTGTTTTTACTTTCTCCCCCGGGACCGCGTCTCGTTGTCCCTCCGTCTAGTTGTACCTACGTCTACTTGTACCTCGAGGCCTAGGGACAACTAGTCGTAGGTACAACTAGACGTAGGTACAAGTAGACGGTGGCACACCTGACTAGTTGTACCTGCAGATTTTTAGGAGGTTACAACTAGACGCAGGTACAAGTAGACGTAGGTACAACTAGACGTGTATCCCACCGACAAGTAGTATCACCTAGCTTGTACGGATGCGACCAGTTGTCCCTACGACTAGTGGTCCCTACGACTAGTGGTCCCTACGTCTAGTTGTACCTACGACTAGTTGTACCTACAAGTATTTTGCGTCCTTACAGTCTAGTTGTATCTATCCTTCAATTCGTTACCTTGTTTAATTGATTACTGCACGAGTACATTTTAATAATACCATTAATTAAAATGTAGTACCAGCCCTAGTACCGAAAATCGCTTATTTAACTAAAACATTTATATATATCATTAAATATACAAGCAGTATATCCTTAATGAATTGCAATAGACCGCTGCCTAGCAATTATGTATTACTATTTTTGCTGATTCCTTTAAATATTTTTTCACATAACCTTAAAGTATTTGCATTGATTAGAGTGCATTTCTTATAGTTTACTATGGATTTCCCAGTGAACAATGAACAATGAAGTGTACAATGAAGTTGAGGTCCAGTGGTTGAAAACTCGACCAAAAATATGCAATGTACAGACTTCTCTATTTAACATACACAGTAAATAATACATGTGATTGGAATTTTTTCCATTTCAAACAAACTAGAGAAGCTAGTTTTAAACTACCTATATAAACTAAATTTGATACTGAGCTAGGTATGTGTACACTGGCTATGTAGTCTGCAACTAAACTAATATTGTAATATTGTTCGTGACTAATACCATACAAAAACACTTCATTATACTAAATTACTTGCTTTTGTAAACTCTGAATTTTTTTATTTAAGATAATTGTTTTAAGTTGTTGTTAAAGCTAGTTAATGTTAGTTTTCTATAAAAAGGTAGAGTTTAAGTGGAAAAAACAATGATAGCAGATCTTGACAAGAAATAAGGAAAACCAAAGTGTAATATGGATAAGGACTGACTAAGAGACACAGTACATTGTTCAAGAACAGGGTTTTCTCAATGAGCTGCAAACAAGCCAAATTTTCCTGGCTTTGTAGCAAGTTGTTTATAAAAAATTTTTAAGATTGTATGATTTTTAAAGTAATTAAATAAATCCCTTAAACTGGTGACAAGTTGAAGGGGAGATACAACTAGCCGTAGGTACAACTAGACGTAGGTACAAGTAGGCGTAGGTACAACTAGTCGTAGGTACAAGTAGTCGTAGGTACAACTAGTCGTAGGTACAACTAGTCGTAGGTACAAATAGACGCAGACGTATGAGGTACAAGTAGACGGTGGCGTACCCGACTAGTTGTACCTGCAGATTTTTAAGAGGTACAACTAGACGTACCGGTAGGTACAACTAGACTTCCGCACCATCGTCAAGTTGTACCTACAGCTTTGGACGAGGTACAACTAGACGTCTGTCACCAAAATGCAGCAGGTACAACTAGACGCCGGTGCAAGTAGACATCGCCCCTCTCCCCCTATACCATAGTAGCCTATATCATAGATAAATCTTACTCCCTTGTGTTGCTTAGTCTATGCCTATATGGAGAAAGTAAGTTACCTACCTATTGTTTTCGTCAAAATTTTCGAGTTTGAGTTTTGAGTGGATATAGGCCCTACCTATTCGTTTTGGGTCCCCCTGGACCCAAAAAAATGGTTTTCGAAGTGATGTCTGTGTGTGTGTCTGGATGTGTAGGCCTACAGAGCTAAGGACTAAGTTACACCTGTGGTCCAATTTCGATGAAATTTGGTATGTAGATTCTAATCCATGGTATCTCAAGGTGTTTTTTTTTTCATTTTTTTGAAATTTTGATTTTTAACCCTTTCAGTGCTATGAAACGATATATCGTTGTTTTAAAAATCTCTAAGGGATATAGAGAGGAAGGTTATTTTAACAAAAAGTAGCAAAACGGCCATTGGTGACCTGCATGTTTATTGTACACTAACAACCACTTAGCTAAAATATTTGCCCCAGTGGTTGTAGTATATCGCTACAAACTCACAGGTCACCAATTATTTGCCACACAAAACGGGAATCGAACCCGAGCAGACGAATGCCACTGGCCAAGTGACACTTGCCCTAGCCTTCTCGGCTATCTGGTGCTTGAAGACTGAGGAGTCAAAAAACGGTATTTAAGCTGACACCACCGATTGCAAACAGATAGCGCTACAGATGGTTGTTCAATGCGTTACTAGGTAACAGCACTATTTAGTCACGGACTATTTAGATGATATTTTTCAGGTGAAACACAACAGTGATCATAAATGTGTTCCTGAAACTTTGTTGCAAAACATTATTTTCCATAAAATGGCTATATTACGATAACCTCGTCCAACTGAATCAATGTTAAATTCAATATTACATTGTAAACTATAGGCCTATGTATTTTGATTTTATATGAGATTTTGGTTTCAAACAATGCTTTCAGAACATTTAATGTATAGGAAAACCAGGAAAATTACAACAAAAACTAAGTTTTATTTAATGTTTACTACAAATACCGGGATTTATCTTTGTTATATATTTTCTTACTGTCTTATTATTCAAAATTAGCCTAATTATTAAAATAGTGACAACATTACAGTTAAAATTCAACAACAGGTAATGGAATTGAAAGGCAAACAAAAAAGTCTTACGAAATACGAATTATTGGCCTAGCACTGAAAGGGTTAATGGGGATTTTCCCATAAAAACCCATAAAAGAATGGAAAAATTGTATTTTCTCAAAAATAGCCTGAACAATTTTGATAAAAATTTAGTACGTTGTAGCTCTTAAAATTCTGAACAAAATGGTAGGAATTCCATTTCTGTAAAAATTACCGTTCAAAAGTTATTAGTAAATTATGTTATTTTCCCCATAAAAACTTCATAAAATAACGGAAAATCGGATTTTCCCTAAAATGGCCTGAACAATTTTGATAAATATTTAGTATGTTATAGTCCTTAAATTCTGAACAAAATTGTACAAATCCAATTTCCATATATTTACTCTCACCGCTTACACATGATAAACGTTGTTGACAAACTTATGGGAGAAAGTATGTGTCAGAATGCTGATGCCATTTATTTTACCTTGCTGCATCACTGGCCCGTGTACTGTTAACTTAATGACACCTGGTTGATGTGTTCAATATGTTTCCTTGGTCCGTGGAAATGACCACAGACTCGCACAACTTATAAGTTATGTGGCGATGTGTAGCGAACGTGTTAAAGCATAGTTAAGTAACTTAACTTAACTTGCAGGCCTAACTTAACATTAAGCCCTACCGGTACTCATAAACATTAACTTAGGCGCCACTCATCTTGTACACTCATCTCCATTCATACTTGGCTCAAAATAGGCCTACCTATTTTGTAAGGTCGTCATTTCAATAAAAAGTATTTAAGTATTAAAAGTAGGCTTACCTAAGTACCTACTTAACCTCGTTTCTAAGACATTACCCCTATGAAATATTTTTTTACCTTTTAAAAAGGCCTATGTAAATTCGGGGGAGGGGGGACACATTCAGATTTTTCCCTAACCAAAGGTGGTAACCCTGCATAAGTTAAACTATTGATGGCAACATGTTCACTAAAATCTGCAGTAGGTAGGCCTAAATCATCCGTTGGCATTTTGCAAGCTTGGATGATGAATAACTAAATCTAACTAATCTAACTAACGTAATAGGGCAGAGACAACTGTTGTCTTTTTATTAAACCAGCATATGTGCTCAACTACCCTAATTATGCTGACACAGACCAGCTTAAGTTTAACTTAAATTAGTCCGTGGTAGACAATTTAAACTTGTAGGCTCATGGTTCGCTGTCTAGTTGTATCAACGTCTTGTTGCATTTGCTGCATTTTGGAGACAGGCTCAAGGTTCTCCAGTGATCCTGGCAACATTGTGATAATTTCCCGAGATCGAGGCAACATCATTTGTCATGATCTATTGTGAATGTCTCGCAACATTTCTGATCATTTACCGCAGTCGTAGTAGGTAGCAACTACGATAATTTTACTAATCTTACTAGCTGAACCCGGCAGACGTTGTCTTGCCTTTGACTATTTATAATTTAAGTACCGTAACGTTTAATTGTCTTATTGTATATGAAGTGCTTATAACTAAATTAAAATACGTACGACAACTAATGAAACACATATAGTACAAAGGATAACCGATTCTTTATTATTGCTCTTATATTAATGCTAGTGGGTAGACAATATTTTTGGTCTTTCTATTCGGCTCAATCACTTCCTGGTTGAAGTTCGTTC